AAGAGTGGGGGCCTAAGCAGCACCTTGTAAGCTGGCAGAGTTCCAGCCTACAAAGGAAAACTTAGTTTTCCGTGTTTTTCTCTTTTAAAGGAGAATCCATTTTTCAAGTTTATTCATGACCCTTTCATATATTCTTGCAACCCAGTTTTGGGTTGTGACTCACAGGTTGAGCAACGCTGCTATAGCGGGACTGGATTACAGCATAGTATTATTGGCAGATGCCTCCAGTCCTTTCTCACAGCCTTATGGCTTGATATAGTTATTAATTACCACATCTGGCATAAAATACAAGTTCCTCTTTGTCTCTTCCTGAATTGTCATTTTATTTTTATCTTCTTTAAAATACAGTTACCAACCACAGTGTTTGGTTTAGAACTAACTTGACAAATTGGAAAGAAGGTATCGGGTTACATAGGAGTTCTGCATTTTGAATCATAGGTAAAGCCATTGGTTCTGATTCTGTCAGCATATTAAAAACCTATTGACTGTAGCACAGAACTTCTTTGAAGGGAATCCCTAAGGCTTCAAATACAAGAATAAACACTAGACATTTAAAACTGTTAGATATGTCTCAGAGGGAGGTAGGGAGGGAGAAGTAAGAAGTTTCTCTGATGCTTTTATGATACTCCTATCGCATCTATGGAAGTGTTTTAAAATACAAAGTAATTATAGTGGGAAACCTCAGATAGATAAATTTAATACAAGCATTTTGCAAGACCCTCTTCTAAACTTAAATGCTTGGCCTGAATTAGGAACTTTAATAGGTTCCAGATTTTTTTTAAATATGGAGAAAGGCAATGGAAGACTATTGGGCAAAGTAAGGTAACAGAATATTCTGGAAATATACTGCAGGGGTTTTTTTCCTCCTTCACACAGACTCTTAATTCATTCAGCTCTGTCTTGTGCTGAAGTATTCCAATGAAAATGAAGGATCTACATTGAGTTGCTCCATATCAACTGTTTTCATATCGTTGATTTGGGTCAGTACCCTTCTGGGTTCTTGACATACTGTGGCAGAGGGATATGAGTAGCATCAGAAGTACGCAAGGATGGTTTTAGTCTCAGACATTAGTGCTCATCTCCAACTTTTTTTCTTGTGGTTGCAGGTACAAAAAACCCACTGACTTTAAAAGGAAGAAACTGCAACTGTTGACCAAGAAACCACTGTATCTTCACCTCCATCAAACATTGCACAAGGAATGACCCTTTTGTGAGACTTCTATGACCTAAACCACTTGCTACAAATCACAGTATCTCTGCATTTGTGTGTTTGTGTAGCACACTCATCATTCAGCAGGCAGGCCAGTGGCTGTACTCAGGCCAGGAGGCCAACTGGGACCATCACATACTGCACAGCAATACCACAGAGTCAAATGTCAAGCCTACCCTTCAAGTACAAGTTTATTCCTGTACCTTCTGGATACAGGTCTTATCCCAAGTGTTCTAAAGAAGCTTTTGACTGATTTCTCTGCATAATTGAGCAGTTCATAAAAAAACAAAAAAAAAAACCACTGCAAACTTCAGTTTTATACCTTACCATTGTACATTTATACTTTTCCCCCTCAATCTCTACTAAAGATGGAAGGGTGTCTCTTTTGCCAAACCTGATACAGCAATAAAGACACGGCAGGTTATGTAACCCGCTGACATTTTGCTGTGCTATTGCAGCACTCTCATCAGCATATGAGTCCTCTCCTTGGATTGATTGGGAAGGTAGGGGGAAGTGATGCTAGAAAGGGAGTTTTCAAAGATGAATGTTAGTGCTGTGCCTGAGAGAGGTTAAAAATAGGGAGGATGCTGGTCAAAGAGAGACTCAATCCAACATAAAAATGCTACCCTAGCAAATTTGTTTACAAGCCTTATTTTCTTATCTGGCTCTGGGGAGTGAATGATGAGCTGCAAAGGAGACAACCCAATGATGGCAACTGATTTCTCTCAATCCTGTTCCTGTAGTAATTTGATATACATCATCTGGTTTAAGTGACTTTCAGGTAAAACTTTCATGTTAAGTGCTAGAATATAAATTCTGATTGCTCCCTTCAATAGCTAAATCTTTTTTTTTTCTTCCCAATACTACTTTCCCACTTCCCCTAATAAAAGTGGATGGTAAGGGGAGATATTGGTTTGCTACACAGATTTCAGTGGTAACAGGGTTGGTCCCCTAATTGTCAACAAAGCCCAAATTATTAATGGTGATCTGGCTAACTCAAGCTAGTGACTGAAGATGTAGCCTACATCAGAAACTGCTGTTTTTCTGAAGCTGATTGTGGATCCTCGCGTACCAACCTCTGTTTGTATGCAAGTCTGGATATTTACTTTGACATTACCTTTTTTTATCCAAGTAGGTAGATAGGATTACCATTTATTTTCTATATTATTGAGATTCATAATGTAATAAGCTGCAGGTCATTGGCTTATTATAACATGAATATCTGCATCCACCTTTTCCCTTAAAGGGAAAGGTATAGAACCCATTCAAACCTTTCATATATTCAATGAGTGGAATATTTAATACAGTACTTTAAGGTCTGTGCTTCATGTGTATCTTAAGTAGCGCCTACATACACTTTGCTATGTTAACAGAAGACCCGGCACCAGGACAATGCAGGGTTAAATGTTAGCTTTAATAATGTGGATGTAAATATGCTAGTTATTCTTTTCCTTCTCTACCATGTAACTAGCTCTAGAATACTGTTTACAGTGAGTAAAATGAAAAAGATTTCGCACTGCTCGTGGCCTATTCAGCTGTTTGCTGGAGTGTTCCTTTTGGCCTATTGAAGGGAACTGTGACTCACCAGGTGGTTAAAAACAGGGTATGTCTGAAGTTGGAAGCTGAAATTTCATCTTGTCTTCTTCCCTTTCTGCTGTTGTGGCATAATTGTGAAAGAATTAACTTCACCGATCAATTATTTTGTAGTTTTTCCCAACACCAAGCATACTTGACTGGAATTTCACTAATGGTTGAAGAGCTTAACAAGTGCAGTTTTCGTTTCCTGTTAACAGTTCTTAAGGGAACCCAGTTTTAACCTTTTAGAACAGAGTATTAAGCTGTAAACACAAACACTAAACTGGTGATTGATTTATAATATGTGTAAATAAATGGACAATGGTGTTCCTCCACTGCGTATCTCATAGCATTGGAAGGCTAAATGCTCACTAAAATCACAGGATCTTTTGGCTACAGGAATACAACTTTTCTTTCCATAATACAAAAATATGTATAGCCCCAATCAAGGAAAGCAATTGGTTAACCTCTGAGAATATGAATAAACCCAGTTAAGTCAATGGCTGTATTCATGTGGATCAATGTTCTGCTGTGTCCTGTAGCCTGGTAAAGGTTCACTGTAAAATGGGAGCTTCTTTCTGCGGTGTACGTTCATGCATCAAAGTACTAGCACTGGTTCATAACTAGTAAATGTTCTGGTAGCTACTATGATCATTAATCACAAGGGAGATTGACAAGTATATCTGTTACCTCCTTCAAAAAGGGCAGGGGACCTGCTGCTTAGGCTTGTAAATCAGCTGGTACAACATAACTGTAACTACTACAGACTCCAGTAGATATACCAGCCAGCTCAACTGTTGTAAAGCAGGATTAAAGTTGCAATGGTTTTGCTACATTTGATAATGCGTACCAGTTGTTACATTTGTCTCCTTCTAAACTGTACTCACACCTAAGAATTTACTTCTAAAGCGTGTAATCTTTTCTTAAATGGGAGAATCTGTTGAAAAGTGCTAGCATTGCTCCAGAGGGAAAAATAGTCACTTTTAAACTTGAAGGAGGTCACTTTCCAATACAGGTGTCTATGCAAGTTAATGCTTAAGGAGATGGGGGCACAGGTGGTATTCTCCTCTCTTCTTCCGGTGAGTAGGTGGGAACAGCGACACGAGGCCTGAATTGGCGATGTCAGTGCAGTTGGTGCCGCCAGGCAGGCCTTGGGTTCCTTGATAATGACCCATGCTTTCAGGCAAGGGACTTGCTGGGGCGGGATGGGCTTCACCTCTCTCCTAAAGGCAAACTTGTCTTCTCTTCCAGGTTGGCTGATCTCATATGGTGAGCTTTAAACTAGCCTTGCCGTGGGAGGGGACCGCAGGAAGATGTGGAGATGCCACCCGAGCAAGACAGGTGACAAACGCAAGGAGTGCCCAGGTAAGAAACGGG